GCACCGGTTTGAGCACCGGCACCGTTTCAAAAGTACCGATTTGGCACCGGTATCGGATAAAACCTAAACGATACCCATCCCTATTTATTAGAACTGTATAAAAGAAATTTACTTGGTTGATATACATTCAGTTTACATCAGGCATATTTTCCTCAATGATTAGTTATGTAAATAAATAGACCTTCGATTTCATATATTTCAGATATATTTTACTCATGATTATTGCTTTATGCTTATGAAGGCCAAGAACCATTTTTGGAGTGCATTTCGTCCAAGTATGTCCTAACAAAAAGTAGAAAATCTGTCAGATAATGAGGCATAATGAGCACACAGTGTGATAACGTCATAGACTACAGGCCTCCCGAGAGACCACAAAAAAGGGTCACAGAACTTCAAAATAAAAAAAATGCAAAATGCCTTGTTTTTGTATTAAAATGGGTTGCAGAAATGGCACTATCTTAATTTTGTTGCTACTAGCAACCTAAAGAAGAAAACTACTAATTTAAGATTAACAAATCTTAAATTGATTTCTTAAATACCAAATTATTCCAAAACATTTTTAAAATTTCATATAAAATGTGTGGTCATTTAAAAGTTCCAACAAATTAACTGGAAGTTTTATCGCTGGCATAGTTCCACTGTTTACAAAAGTCAACATCAGACACAAACTTTCACTCTTGGTGGTGTTGTTTAAGTGATGAGTCTGAGGGTCATTCATTCAGATATACTACAGAAATCCAATTAAGTCAACCCCTACTTTGCTGTGATCGTGCTCTTCCCTCTGTCACGTTTCCGCCAAGAGTCAAAAAGTCCAACGTACTGAACTCTGCACAAACAAAACAATAACAGGAGAAGAGGTCTGACTTATTACACACAACAAAGCCTTTATTTAGAGCTAAATTTTACACAAATTCAATTAACTAATTATTAAGAATTAATATTTATGAGGTATTCTCTTTCAAATCTTTGAGGGAGCAGATTAATAAAAATATTATACCTGGAATCAGAAATAAGTGCAACCTCTCGCTTTGCAATGTTCTAAAATTGGCACCAATTAGAAGAACAGATATGACTGGAGGGAATACTATCTGCTATAAGTGTTATTTAAAGTTTGGTCAGGAGAGGGCACTAGACTTGTTGTTTGTTTGTATGCGTCAGTAAGCAGTACTGGCAATGAAGATGGGAGCTAAATCTACAGCTATTCAAGGCATTCCTTAAAATCGCTCCTTGTAATGTTGTGATTAAGTTCTACCCTGATGCCAAACACAGCTGGGACCACAGAAGAACACTGGATGGGAAACATTTTATGCATCTTCTTTAGAAAAATGTTGCCGAGTCTCTGCTGTAAAAGGAATCCAGTACACTATTAAGGAAAGACACCCAGCACCTGAACCATATTCCACGGAATTGCACAACTACCCAAAGGACACAGCTATTTCAGTCCTCGTTTCAAATGTTAGCATTTATTTTTTGTTAATTATAGGGTGGAAAACACACACAAGGTTACTTCTAGATGTCTGACTTCTGACAATGTAATGAGCATATCACTGTAATGTGTCTGGGCATGCCAAAGTAGGATTTTTCTAGTTAACTTTAGTTTTATGAGCGATTAGGCAGCAGTGTCTGCAATACAAGCCTTTGCTTGTTGGTAAAAAAAACAAATGCACTATCGGAGAAGTAACATTTCCTTAATCAAAGAGGTAAATCAGAAGCGCTGATGCCTTGCAAACACGTGGGATGTTTACTGTCCAGTTTGCATGGTGCAAATGTTTTTTTAGAGCAGAATGCAGCAAGATGTCAGTGTGACATAGAGGCTGATGTGATTTTGGGGGCACTAAAAACCTAGGCTTAAGACAAAAGATGCAGGAGTTCACCAGAACACTGCTTTTTCCCCTTGCCAGAAAGGTCTCTATAAGCCTTCTCTCCAGCTACAATAGAAGGATAATAGGCGCTAAGCCTGAAGCAAATCAGTGTGTGTGCCAAAATTTCTTGTCTAAACATATTTAAATGGGCACATTATAAATGTCTATCAGTGATATCAGTGCTATTCTTTGTACCTATCAACCAGAAACATGTCTATACTTCCTAATGACACTTACCTGACAGCTTACATTTTTGACCACAAAGACCACCCAACATCAAGACAGCACCACGTTGTCGACCATCTTTGGCATCATCTAAAGTTGAAATAACATGAGATGCATTGATACAAACAAACACTGTACAGATATGTGGATAAAAAGTAACAGATATACTCGTGTGTTTCCTCAGCCGCACATGAAAGCCACTTAGAGACAATTTTATGATGATGCATAAAAATGTGTCAAGACTTAGGCTCAAATACTACCTCAAACACAAATGTGGAAAAACATGCCAAGTGCTGAAAGTGGTCCTGACATATGGGCTGTTTACAGTTTAGTAAGCAAGAATGTCATCGTCAACAAGAAAAAAGGTCATGGATGTTGGGTGCCCTTGTTTGTGTCTGTTGTCTCTTCAGCTGAATAGCTATGAATCTTGGCCGTGCTGACCACTTACGCAGTTTGCAGTGTATGCAAACTCTTTGTAACATAGTAACTAACACTTCAAATGACATGACTGACACACAACCTTCAACATAAATATATTCTTTCACGTACCTTGCTTGAACATTTCTTGCTTGAGACTTTTGGAAGCACCTTTCTTGTCAACATGTACATGGGATGTGGGGCTACAGGTAGAACCTTGGAAAATGGTTCCAGAGACAGCCATCAACAGTTTCCCAGACTAGTTTGAGACACTGCAACAACCAAAATGAGAAAGTCGTAAACATGCATTACAGACTTGCCCTTCAACCCAGACAGAAAGAAGAGTTTGAGATACTGCAGCTGAGGAATGACATTCCTGATGCATCTCAAACATCTTTGCCCATTTCTGCCATGGACCGCCACAAATGTGGTCTGAATACTGCCAGGGGAACTTATTTACATCACAAATAGTTACAAGCCAAATGGCTTCCCTCAGTTCTTCCCAATCTCATGCCAATATTTTCTCTATCGTGTGTCTGAGTCATTTGAATGTGGGCACAGCAGATCTCAGGTAAGTGTACCTGGAATAAGCCCTAATGAGCAAGCCAGTTGGTAACACCCAGCAGCCCCTTTGGGAGTAACTAAATACAGGTCAACAACAGTGCTCTGGTGAAGACCAAATGTCTTTGACCAAAGCCAAAATATGAAACTTGTCAGCTGTTCCTCATGGTTTGTGTAAGTGCTGCCGGTCTACCTTTGGGCATTCAACACCGGAACTATAAGACTTTGGTTTAGAACAGAAGATCGACCTCCTGGAAATGAATGTAACGGAAAAGCAGATCCTTCTCAGAGAATAAATTCGGTCAGCAACCATTTTTTGCACATTCTACAAAGTTAGGTGACAGTGTTAATAGCTAGTGAAACTAATGTGGCCCTCTGGCTTACATTGGATCAATGAACAAACATTTATTTTGGCTCCTCACCAAATGGAACATCTCTTTCTCGGCAGGTACATTCAGTTGCTGACAACTCATTGGCACAAGAATAAACAATATTTCTGCCACTAATCTTTTTTTTTAAGATTTTTGACAAAAAAAGGTGACAAGAGAACAATAACATGTTTGAACATAAAACCTGGACCATAATGTGCCTTCTCCAGAATAGACTGAAATACCTGCTTTATGTGACTTGACAGCAAAACACACAATGAATATAATGATAATTAGATTAATCCCAGATTTCAAACATCTACCAAATATACAGATAACTTTACCAAATTATACTGCAGTGTATCAAGTCCTACTAACATGCTCAGTTTCCTGAATTGCTGTGGAACCTCTACAAATTGTTGGTGCATTTCATTTCTTAAACCAGGGGTCTTTAACTAAAATGAGCTGTGGGCCACTTTAGTGTTCAAGTAGTACAAACAACAACAACAACAACAAACAAACAAGAAAACACCCACAAATATTTCCAGAAATGTAGTGCTTTGTTTGTTTTTTCACATTTCAAATATTGTATAACAAGACAAAACTGCAAATGTGAAAGCAATTTTTTTTCTCACTCTTAACTAACTGAAGCCTTTCATTGAACTGCAAATTAAACAAACTGGTACTCTCTTTCTGGCCGAACACGTGGCAGCACTTCTGCTATAATTTTCTTTGTATTAAACAAAATAAAAATGCAGATATAAGTGTACATATTAGTTTTTGACACGTAAATATACGGGCCACAAGTAGGGGTGATGTGGGCCGCAAGTGGCCCTCGGGCCGCGCGTTTGAGACCCCTGTTTTAAACTTTTGATTCCACTACAAACGGATCATTTAACCTGCAACTCCTAGTTTGGCCTCTGGGGACAGCGGAAAACAGCAACTAAAACACTGATACACTAATATTGATGCATCACCTTTAGTTGAAATGATGACAACAGCTCATTTTAAAGTGAATCAAGGCAATGATCAGCTTTAGCATTCGTTTAGAGTCATATCTCAGTGTGTCTTTAAAGTGTAAGTCAAGCTTTCACTTTACATTTCACTTTGCTGATTCTAGATTGGAACAGCTCTGCTGCAGCTAAATGGATAAGCTGTGGACTAGGCTGATGCACATGACCACCTAAAGGAAACAGTGAAGTAAATGCAGACAAAAGTTCTGATTAGGAAAACGGCAATGAAAATTGTGAAAGAGTAAAGAAAATGTTTACAATTTCAGTATATATACAGTATGTGGCCAGTGGGAAGTGTAAAAGTCTTTTATATATACATATATATATAATGTGTACTTTATGAGCACACCTCTGCCTAGTCCTGTCCTGTCTCACTTGGATGACTGGTTGACTATTAACTCAGATAATGTAATAACCATTCACAGCAGTGATGTCCTCCAGGCTCCAGGAGTCCAGGTCATCCTGTCTCGCTCCAGATTTGGCTCCTGAGCTGCTTAATGGTCACTGAGTTTTACTGGTATTTAGTCATAATTAGGTTTATGGTACTTAGTTTTTGAGGAAATCTGCCTACCATGGCTGAAATGAGAGCTGTACAAGTGAATGAAAGCAAATGTTGTGTGACAGAAAGCAAAAACACTGTGAGAAAGGCACCATTAATTTCTACAGACCTGAGGAGAACTGTAGAGTTGAATGATTATTCACTGTGGGTGTCTCGAGACACTACCCCTACAGTGTTCCTGATCCATTGTTTTCATGATCCATTGTTAGTGTAAACATACTGATTGATCATGTTTTAAGTATCCTAGTGTTTATTCCATGTACAACCATTACTGTTTAGTTTATAATAACAAGAAAAGAACATCAGTAAGAGGTCAAACTGTGACCACAGGATCCCCCAAAGGGTGTTGCTGTTGGAAAATACATAAATGCTCTTACTTTATTAAGAACATTTTTCATGGGCAGAGACAACTGTATAAAAACTCAACTTGAGCAACTGGGAAAACAGCAAAGTCGGAGAAACGATTGACTTTGTGTCATTTTCAGCCGGAGCTTGAGCTGTGTGTGGTGGTCTTCCACAATGAGTTTTTGATACAGCCATCAGAGGGAGCCAAACTCATCAGTGTTTTATTCTAAACACAACGAATGAAAAATATGTGGGAAAACGTAATTGTGGAGAAAAAAAATCCCATCTTTTTCAGATTCTGAATGAAACTTTTCAAATACATCTTCAGATTAAGAATCTTCTACGATTCTGTAAAGCAGGTGGGTTGTGAGAAAGTGTTTCAATGAGGACAGGGGCTGCTGTATTTAAGTAGTCTGTGATCCAGCAGGAACTTGCATCAGCACAGCTCAGGGAATTAATGTCACAGTCCTCACTGTTTCACCTTAACCCACACTCAGGTCTTACCACACTCAGTTTCCTGTGGAGACCTAATTCTGTCAGATACAACTAAACAGAATCCATCCAATCAAGTTCTTGTACACAAGCTTCTCAGGTGTGTATCGTCACAGCTTAAAGATAAGTAAATAAGTAAATGGCGCAGTTTGTTGGTGAAATATTAAAAACAAAGCCATTTACTTGGGTAAATTAGGTCAGTACGTTTTAAACTGAAAGACACAAAATGTAATACAAGAGCAAAGCAGGCTCCTTTCTTTGATCTTCTTTAACTGATTACATTGAAAACACAGATGCAGCTACTCATGCTAAATGTGGATATTATCCTTTCACTTAGCTGCTACATCCAAGCATCTACCCATGCTCATATCCATCCACCCATTTTCTTCTACCTATCCAAATCAGGGGCGTTGGAGCTTATAACAGCTCTCATATGGTGAAAGACGGGGTAGAGAAGTCTGTCACAGGGTGATTTAGTTGATAGACCTCGGAAAAATGAAAAGTTCATTACAAATCTTTATGTGGAGCAGCACAGTGGTGTGGTGGTTAGTACTGTTACCTCACAGCAAGAAGGTCCTGAACTCCAAACCAGTATCTGGCTGGGTTTTTTCTGCATGGCGGTCTCCCTGGGTCTGTGTGGGACTGAATTGGATTTGCAGGAAAAAAATCAATAGATGGAAGTTTTTTATGTGACATTTGAATCCATACATACCCATCCCACAACATAAAGTGTCATCAGATTTCCTCTCCTGATTCATAACTGGTGGAACTTGTAGATCTGCAACACTGAAACATAACAGTTCAACATTTGACTGAACATGCGACACAACGGCTGTAAATATTTTTAGTAATTTCACAAAATTGTGGTTTAAGCAGCATATCTGAAGTTCTCTTTGTCATCTCATTCATTGAGGTAAGGGGGGAATGTAATCATCCATTGGGTCACTTAAGATAAGTGATAAAAGCATACAGTGTGTTTTATGCACAAATTTAAAAATATTAGGAATATAGGGAGCATATGTACACAAGTTATACCTTATCCTACTAAATGATATCACCCTCCATATTTTTATAGATTTGCAAGTGTAAATGGTGTGTATAGGACATTCTTGGTGTTTCCCGGTGTTTTGGTTTGCCCTGTTTTCATCTTTTATAATGCTGCCCTCTGGTGACCGTCAGTCAAATAAGAGAAAAAGTCTTCGTTTTCAAAATGAAATGTCTCATAAAGGGATCAAATGAAAACATTTCACACTTCATCATTATCACTGTTTACAGAATGATTTGGTTTAATTTAATTAATCTACATTTGAATAGTGAAATAATTTAAATTTTAATTGTTTTCATTTACTGTTATTTAGTAACACTGACAAATACAAGTAACATACCATTTATATGAAGAAATATACTTCACATAGCAAGAAAGAAAAAAACTGTTTATTATAATATATATAAACTGCATATTCATATAATGATGTGCTGTCCTTGTTTTATCTATTTAATATCAGCTTTTCATTTGCAACCCTTATCAAAAGTAAAGAAAAAATAACTTAGTAATATAGTAATTAAACACAAAAATACCACAAATAATTCAAATAATGCAAATAATAAAATATCTTCATTGAATTTGTTGTTTAAATTGTTTTCTATTGAAAATGCATTTAAAAAGATACTTAGCATTAGTGTCTAATGACTAGTTAGCCAATGACTATCAGCCAGTGCTGTAAAATGTTTATCATCCACGCCTCCATCACTTCATGTTCTTAGTTGATCTGCTATATTATGTATTCATTACTCTGTAAGCAGAGTTCCCTTTGTTGTATATTAAAATCTACTGTTAGATAGATTAGATAGATAGAGATATAGGCAGTAGCAAAACACTGTAGACCTCAGATAAAAGAAAACCAAACCAAAATTAAAACAGAAATCTTCAGCATATTATGTTTTTATGCAATTCTAACAAAAAAACAACAAAACCTAAATAATATAGGTGATACAAATTGGGAAGATTTGGCTAAATTGCAGAAAACAAATTTATCATTTAGTTTAAATAACTAATACATCTCGAATACTCTGCTGTATCTTTTATGACACACACACACACACACACACACACACACACACAGAGAAAGACCTTGCAGCTGCAGTCAAAGAGACTTTGGCTGTTGCATTGGCTTCTTTGTAAAACCATGCCTGGGGAGGCGTTTCCTGATTATTAACTTTAGATAATTTATCCCTGAAATAAAAATCTGATTCCAAACTCTGATGCCGATCTTCAGCTTGCACCGTGCACAAGCTGGACTGTAACATAAACTTGTCCTCTCACTGTCCTAGAGGTGATCCCAGCCTTACTCTGGGAGTAACTGGCTGACTAAGGACGTTTGTCAGCCAACGTGTCTAACCTGAGCCTTGTTGGCTAAAAGCTCGTGTTCATGTGCAAGCATGTGTTTAGTCTTTCTTTTCTCTTCTACCCACCTGGCATGGTCTTCTTTGTGTTTGCATATTTACAACAGACTCCTGATGATGCTGACTTCTACATAGTTTATACTTGTTTACAGTTTATTATACTTTTAATCATTTCATAATTTTATTTGATTTATATAAATTTCCCATGTTGACTTCATACATTTCTGTGATCATTTGTGATGAATTGTCTAGAAGGAGCTACAGAGGAGTTTAACAGGTATACTAGTCTAACAATAATAATAATAATCTATGCATGTCAAAACACTTGGTTTAAGATTCATCCCTTTCTAGACAACAAGATGATATTTAATCAATGCAAAACTCTAACTGTATTCACTGTACTTAAATAAGCCCATTTAAACATGGTTTTATTAGTATTCATGCATGTAAAATATTTGCACTGATGTTTCGGATAAACTGACTAATTGATTGGTCTCTGTTAAATAAAAACTGATCATATATATATTTTTGGAATTGACAAATCAGCTGAACAAATGCATTAAAGAAATGTTGTAAAACAGAGAACAATGGCATTTTTCTGCACTCCAGTGGAACTACTGTTGCTATTTAATCTATGCAGTAATAAATGCTGCAGATTTGACGGCAAACGTGGTCCCTGTTGTTAATATGCATTGTAAAAACCACTACACTAAATTCACCAGCCATTAGATCTCTTGATAAACACTGCAAGACCTCTGTGCAGCACTTACCTCTTCCACTGCAGTGACTGAAGGCATACTGTTCCTCCTCTCATGTTGCTTATCCCCTGCAGTCCTTCTTCTCCAGTTTCCCCCTCTCCAGTGTGCAAGGGCCTGGTGCAGACACAGTGCACCCTTATATGCACTACCTGCATAGCTGCAGTACTGTCAGCCCGGGACCCCGGGCCAATGGGAATAAAACATGTGCAAAGGACCATCTGCAATGGAAAACGAAATCCTGTAAAAGATTTGGTGGATTTTGCAGCACGGGGTAATGGCGTCCAGCTGCCTTGGGTCTTAGTGACAGATGCTTTCTCTCCCTCTCACTTGGCTAACATGCATGCTTCTCTGTTTCCTCCAGTGAGCTTAAATACTTAAACGGCTTCATTCAAGATGCTCCTTAACTCTGCACACATACAGCACTTTCTTTAACCTTCAACACACATTACAATAAAGATGTACTTTATGATGTAATTAATTTAGTAGTGTTTGCACTTCATGCTTCATGCTATGTGCATATTCTCATTCATATATATAAAGATATATAGATAGGTATAGATATATGTAGATATAAATATATTACACAATAATAGATGATCAAGTAAACCTAAATATCTCAGTCACGCATGTAATTATGATCTACCAAACTGTATCTATTGATTAAGGACAGTGAAAGACTTTAACAGACTAACGTCAGGTTTCAAGAAAACAACCTGATCAGTGAAGCAGCATCGTATTTACAGCTCTCAGTAGTCACCTGAACTGAAATGCCATAGCTGAAAGCTTCTTCTGTACCTACACCACAGTACCAACATTGTTTCTAATCCATCTGTTGATGTAAGCTCTATATGAGCTTTGAAGGCAGGCATCTGTAATTTTAATCCCTGTCCCATACACATTTCTTTTTCAGCCAAATTTGGGAACTTGTTGGGGTCGGTTCTATTACAAATCTCAGCTAGACTGCCTCTCTGAAGACATTGTATCATGCTATATTACACCCATTTCCATAATGTTACATGCAAAAGGTTAAAGGGTCAACAGACTATGTCCTTAAGGTTGTAAAGTCTACCAGTGTCATACTAATGTATATTTTCAGGGTTCATCCAGTTGTCAGAGAATAGCTTTGTATTAGGTTATCTATGCAGTACTATTCACTTATTTTGACTTGTTTGTCAGATTAACACAATGCAGATACACAAACACGTTATTAAGACATCTCAGAAATACTTTTTTGAAGTGTGTGTGTGATTTTGTCTTGTTTTTCAGTGACTCACAGTGAGTGATTCAGTAAGACAAGATTTACTTCTTCACTTTTAATCCCATCCATTGATAATCTCAAGTGAAGCCAGTGTTGGATTCTCCCTACAATCAGATTAAGCATATGGCTCCAGCATCTGTGAGCTAATTTACAGCCAAGCGTTCCCTGCTTGGCTGCTACAGCAGCAGATATGTTAGGACTTAAGCCGACAACTCTCATTGACAAAATCTGATTTAACCGCTGGCCGTATGCTGTCAAAGGATGCCGGGCTGGTACGGGTCACCAACTGTTCAGACTTTGACTCAGCTTTCATTGTTTCCTCACAATAGAAATGCAGTTATTTCCTCAGACAGGCAGAAAGAGCTGCTATCAGTGATATGCTCAACAGTGATCCACCAGCCTGAAAGGTAATGTATAATCAGTTGAATAAACATTTTAACTTAAAATTTTCTCTTATAATTACTACTTCTAGATTATTTTCTACCAGTGTTTTGTAAATTGTGTCTCTTACATCATCAGCTGCAAAATGTATGTAAGTTGGAACACTGTGCAAGTTGTTGGTCTGGACTATGATCCAAGTGGTTTTAGCTATTAAAGATACTCTCTAGCTTTTAGTCCCGTTTTTCAGTTTAATCATTTTTCTTCACCACGTACAAAAGACAAGTTATTAATATGAAGGCCGATGTGGGTTATCCTGTGAAACTAGTCTAGTCGAATGCTGTAACCATGTATGTTTCTTAGCTTCCATGTGTTGGTGGTTAAGGTTTTAGGAACTCAAACACAGAGAAGCATTGACGTAATGTATAATGTATGACCGTTAACAATACAAACCGCAAGAAACACAAGCTTTTATCCAACCTTAGGACGACCTTAAATGTCATGTTACTCAGCTACAGATACTTTATGATTCAGGGAGTAAGCACTCTTTGAAGTGGCATTAATCATAGAGATGCTCTAGCAGAGTAAGAGTCCAGTACAAGTGTCCGTGGATCATTTGGACTTTGATATGACAACACACAGTGTAAAGGTTTCTCAGTGACTGACCATTACTGACCTTTTCTGATAGCCAGATTATTAAAACAGCATCTTGAGGTCTACCAACAAGCATGAAAGTAAAGCCAGACTTTCTACTTCACTGTAAGCATGTAATGTCCAGAAATATTCAATGAAACTTTTAACCTGATAATTACGTGACTGAAGGTGCTGGAATTTCACCACTTTCAGGGAAGTAACAACAATTTTTACTTTAAAATTTACAGCTTTGTTCTTTTGATTGGTTTTTAAAGTGGGGGCATTTCTGCATACAACGACACGATGATATCACAGATATTTATCACCAAACTCTCCCTTTCAGCTCCATGCAGACCTCAATCATCCTTGTGCTTTCCTGTCTTACAGGAAAATGGTAAATATTGGCTTTATTAAATATTACTTAGATATATCATAATTGATTTATCACATAAATGCTGTTAATGCAATCTGTATGACAAAACTTTATGAATGAATACATGGACTGAGTGTGGCAGGACAACATGCTGTAGTTTGGGGACAAAATGCTAACCATGCACACCGTCTTCTGGCTCAACATCAAAGTTCTCATTTTGTACAGTGTGCAGACAGAAACATGCCAGTGTCGTTTATACGCACAGAAACTGTGAAAGCAGCTCGTGCTCACAGCTGAAATAATACTAACTGGTTCCAGGTTTTCTGCGTGTCAAACTGTTTCCTTAAACAAAACTTTTTCTATCCACCGATAAGCTCATTATAGATTAAAATCATTGGAGACTTGGCATGTCTCTACAAGACATCGTCACAAGGTGGGGTGAAGGAGGACCTGTTTTGCTAAAATTCTTCTACCTGAAAATACTTTACAAAAACATCATATTGTCAGGTGCTGCTAGAACTCACCTGGTTGAATAGGTGACCCCCGTATGTCAGGGACTACTGCAGGGTTTGAGTTTACCCCCAGAACATTTCCTGCATGTCATTCTGTTGACTCTCTCATTACTTTCCTGTTCAACCTTTTAAATTACTCTGTGTAATAAAGGCTGAGACACATAAAGTTAAAATAAATAAAGGAATTAGATCACCAGAAGAATTGGTGGGGTTTCAGTTGAACATCGATGAGGGGCACACTAAATTTTGCACATTATGATTATTTTTTGTATATGAGCTCATGGTGGAAATTGTTTCATTTACTGACAGGAAAATACAAAAATTCAACATATGCAAGAGCATCCTAATGCAGTGAAGCTCATAAATAGTTATTCTTTTTCATACAGGGATACTTCTCTGCCTTTTGCTTGGGAAATTAACCTACATACATGTGCATGTCTCACCTGGTCACCTGGTAAGAAATTAACCGATCAGCTCCTGGACTTTTTAAATCATTTTTTTGCATCATAGGTTTTCTTTTTTATAACCTTTTATGTCATGAATACACTAATCCCTCATCTCTTTTGGAGGAGACATTTAGGAATCATGTTCATCTCATCCGTTAATCCAGACTGAAAACAACAAGAAGAGACAACACAATGTGTAAATAAGCAAAGTAGCAATATCTTCAGAGAAAATATCCCAACATCTGCCTGCATATGTATGTTACCAAAATGCTACTGCTGCTGCTGAATGAGATCACAGAACTGTGTGTGTGTGTGTGTGTGTGTGTGTGTGTGTGTGTGTGTGTGTGTGTGTGTGTGTGTGTGTGTGTGGCGAGAATGACTAAGTAAAAAGAGCCGCTCAGAGATGAGTAATGTTATTGTACCTCTGACCAGGAACCAGCTGACGCTAAATGAATCCAGGACCTGCCAAAGTTGTGCCAATTTTTGTGCGCATAACTTGCATGGATAAAAAAGAAAATGCGCAAAAAACCTCCGTATTATAACGCATGTGTGACTCTTTTTGCATATCCCCGACATAATAATGTTGGCTTATTTGTGTTTCTAATGTCCTCCAGATTTTCTTAGAGAACAGTAATGAAAGAACGTGGACCTGTTCCTGCTTCCAGCAGACTGGACTCCAGTCCAGGTTTTGGCCTTTACTGGCAAGGCGCAGCAATCTGCAGCATCCCCACACGAAGCCAGCCACACACGCTGTCCGAGAAGCTGCTACGAAGTTACACCAGTAAAGTAAACACAAACATTTATAGAAAGATTATCCCAATTACTAGATAGGAGCGCACTTTATATAGACACAGCCAGGTCCATACATGTATTTAATAAACATGCGCATGCTGTAATGTCTTTACATAACCACCTTTATTGCTGTAAACGAATCAGCCTTTTTCAGAAGGAATGGGGTGAGAAATGGACCGTTTCTCGGTTTCGTTGGGTATTCTGGTGCGCATGTTAACTTTGAAGGGAAGGCTGAAGCAGCGTGGTCCTTTTTTTTAAGAAAAACAAAAAGTGAACTTCCTGTTTCGGGGTGGTCCACAGACTGTGGAGAAAGGGAGGGAGAAAGGGAGGGAGGGAGCGAGGGGGGAAGGGGGTGCACATTCCCGCATTGGCTGTGCAGCCGACTCCAGGGTGCTTTGCGGGACTCCATAGCCGAACATGGGGTTTAATTTTGTCACCGTTTACGTAAAGCGGCTCTGAAGAACCAAACTATGGAAAAGCGCTCCTGAAGGAGGACAATGTGTCGGTTTCTGTGAACAATTCACTTATCTCCATCCGAGCGCGCTTGGCAGAAAGTAGAGAGAAAAAAGGAGAGACGCGAGGCTTTACTGGAAACTCAGACTTACTTTCACGGTCCTTGGATCCTCAGCGCTCTTCCAAGGACTCTGGGAACCGAGTCAGAAAGTTTCATGCTGAATGTCCCTGCATTAACCTGAGGTAAGCAGTGCCGCTCATTTATGCTCGCTCCTCAAATCACAGCCGATTACTGGTAATTGTTACCGGGCTGAAGATTCTTCATCCTCCGAAAGTTGAGTTTAAGTACTTGAAACTTTTCTTAAAGTGAGA